CGTATCAACACTGTTTCCAAATGGAAAAGGTAGTAGAACCAAAATGTCTATCATCTAATAGAAAAAAATGGAATAAATTGTGCAAAAAAAAGAGAACAGATAGCCTAAACTTAGCTCCTCGAGGAAAATCATACAATCAGGATAAATGATAGCCTTAACTTAGCTCCTCGAGGAAAATCATACAATCAGGAACAGGTAGCCCTAACTTAGCTCTTCGATGAAAATCATACAATCAGCTGGCCTATGCGGCTGTAACTGCCTTTTCCACCATCTACAAAGCAGAAACTGATGAACTTCACATAATTAAACATGAAAGAAAAACACATCCCTTAACTTAGCTCCTCGAGGAAAATCATACAATCAGGAACAGGTAGCCCTAACTTAGCTCTTCGATGAAAATCATACAATCAGCTGGCCTCTGCGGCTGTAACTGCCTTTTCCACCATCTACAAAGCAGAAACTGATGAACTTCACATAATTAAACATGAAAGAAAAACACATCCTTCTAAGCTTGAAAAATGACATCACACATTGATACTTACCATACTTTTTACACAAAACATTTATGACTTTCACCCGACCACCCGCTGGGCCCGACGGGCTAGGTTAGGTAGGTACCACGGGAAAGCTATTGATCATGTTAGGAGAGAAGGGTTCAGTTTTTGCATGTCTGCTGACAGCACATCTGTTGTTTGTTTTATTCCCTTGATAATTATTATTATGTTAACAAATGTGTGAATGTTTGCTGTTTTGGAACAGATTTAGGGCCACAGGATCAGAAGGCGAATTTCACCGGCTTTCTAAATTCCGCATGTTTCACCATATTTTATCAGCTGTTCTAAGAAAATAAATTGCAAGATTGAAATCCATTTATCATTATTATTACAAATTTGTGAAACTTTTTACTTTGCTGTTTTCGAACAGATTCAGAGCCCGGGGTTTAGAAGGCAACTTCCACCGGCTTTCCAAGTTCCACAATTTTCACCGTATTTTATCAGCTTTTTTAACAAAATGAATTGCAGAATAAATACACGCCAAAACTTAACTTGTCCTTTGCATTGATGGAGGCAACATATTACGATACATCAATTCCATGAAAAGCAGCATGGGTGCGCCACGAAAGCCGCGCCATTTCCATTCCGTAGTAAATAAGCATTTACGCACCAAAACCACCTTCCAGAATCATCCCAGTAATTAACAGCAGTTCTCAATGTCAATCAGCGATCATAGGTAATCCGTAACACCCTTCAAATTCAAAATGTCTATCTAAATCACTATGGCGCATCCGCCATCCAGCTCACCCGCGTCAAACACAACGGCCGATTTAGTGTTGAATATTAGGTGCATTGTAAAAAAATATTTGAAGTTTATAAGTACTTTGTTTAAACAGAAACACTAACCATATTTTTCTACTTTTTTAGAGCCAAACTCTGTCTTACTTCCAATCCCTCTTTCGTATTGTGGTGCGTAACTTGAACTATAGTGACGACGGTATGCTCTCGGCAGCGGGAGCAAACATTTGTCGAGCCCGGTTGTGACCGAAATCTTGCGATTAGAGATTTTCGTGTCCTACTTGCCAAACGTTTTACCTATTATTTGTTTTTGTTTTTTATCGTACCTCGATTAATTCCACACTCTGTCGGCCCCAGCAAACCTGTATTGCTGGCGGGCCCGGGTTCGCCCGGTCCTGAAATATTGCCAATCGACGCGGCCGGCTGTGATTGACGGCTCAGGCGCAGATGAAGTGAACATTTGTCGAACCCGGTCGCCACCGTATGCGTTTGATTGAAGATCTTCGCGTCCTACTTTAATATCGTTGGACCTTTTACTTGTAGCGTGTTTGTCATGCGTCTCTTGTTCAATGCCACCCTCTGTCGGCCCCAACTAACCTGGATTTTTGGCGACTCCGGGCTCGCCCGGTGACGAAAACCGGCCGATCCAGTACGGGCAGACGCCGGCCGGCGGCGAGAGCAGACGGGCCGTCACGGAAGGTGCAGACGGGATGGGATCGGCTTAAAACACTCGTGCATCTCGGCGGCAGCGTGTATTGAGAACAAAGAGACGATTTCATTATTTATTCAATGTATTACGCATATCACATGAGCATGCCCATAGCACACGCTGCCGCCGGCCGTTATATTTTTCCCAGCCGTCGGCCTGCCGCTGGCCGGCGAGATCTTCGCGACGGAGGAACAGCGATCGACTAAGTCACGTGAATCAGCCGCATTCCTGTGAGGCGCGCAATGTTGAAGAGATATGTGTGCACGCAGCTATCTCGCAAGCCCTAAGAGAAAAAGCTCGCTGCAAAAACTGAGCACTTCAAAAAACCCGAAATCCTACTCAAATGAATATTTAAACAAGATATCTTGGCTCGCTCCGCGTCGCTTTGACCATAAAAAGATTCGGGAGAAAATTTGGGATCGAATGGTGTTTTTCCGGTGACGATCGGACGTCTAGAAGCTTCGATATTGGCGAAAAACTTGCTGAACTTGCAAAAGTACTTGGTACTTGCCAAAGTACTCGGTACTTGCCAAAGTACTTGGTACTTGCTTGGTATTTGCATAAGTACTCGGTATTTGCCAAAGTACTTGGTACTTGCTTGGTATTTGCATAAGTACTTGGTACTTGCTTGGTACTTGTAAAAGTACTTGGTACTTGCGAAAGTACTTGGTACTTGCTTGGTACTTGTACTCGCCCCCCCCCCTTGTTCCCCCGACTCTACTCCCACCCCTACACCCTCGGGATAATTCCGGGTTCGTCGGGTAGAAAAACTTGCCACTCTATCCCCCCCCCCCAGAGCCATTTGGTATCGATCGGTGTTTGTCCCGTGTCAATCGGTCGTCAATAAGCCGAGATATGCACGGCGACTTATTTCAATCGGCGCCGATCATAATCTTCAGGACGGAGGTACATACCCACACTCATTTCTGGCCGTATCTCACTTTTCCGAGATCTACGTCAAACTACGTATTTAAAACTACAATTCTACAGCCGAATCTTCCAACTGGGGGTACCTCACTCACAATCGCACGTGATTCAGCCGCATTCCTGTGAGGCGCGCAATGTTGAAGAGATATGTGTGCACGCAGATATCTCGCAAGCCCTAAGAGAAAAAGCTCGCTGCAAAAACTGAGCGTTTCAAAAAACCCGAAATCCTACTCAAATGAATAATTAAACAAGATATCTTGGCTCGCTCCGCGTCGCTTTGGCAATCAAAGTATGAGGGAGAAAATTTGGGATCGATTGGTGTTCGTCCCGTGTTAATCGGACGTCTAGAAGCTTAGATATTCACGAAAAACTTGTTGAACCTGCCAAAGTACCTGCCAGCTTGCTGTATCACCTGCTACTTGGTAATGTACTGAAAACTTGCTAATGTACTGAAAACCTGCCAAAGTACTTGGTATTTACTTGCCTAAATACCGCAAAGAACTTGTTCCTTTCCGACGTTTAAATCAGACGTCTTTAGTCGATCAAAGACTTTGCGAATTTGCCTTGGTCTCAGATAATTTTGATTTGTTCCAATGAATTATTTGTAATTTGAATTATACTTGTTCCCAATTTGTATTTTGTTTCACCTACCTATCATTTCTAACTTGTTTTAGCGTCCTACCTATTAAGCGATTACACATACGTAGAGAGTGCCGGTGGGTGGTTATAATGCAATACCCTGCACGGTGAACAGCTTGCGAGTTTTACAGCGGTGCGATTGCTGGGGCTTATCGCTGACAGAAAAGGGTAAATACAGTAAATACAGATGGCTGTGTTGGATCCCTTTGCTTTTGCCCAACATTCAGCGTTGGAATTGTGGCTTTACCGTCCCTCTTATCAAAGTTATCTAACTTTTTGTAGCTTCGTCAGGTTAGACACGACGCGCGTGACCTCTGGCGGCCGCTGGCGGAACTACCGCGCACGGCCCGCACACGGGCCTGGCGGCCGCCAGTGGAACTACTGCGCAGGTGGCAGCACCTACCCGTGGAGAAGCGGCTGGCAATCGGCCGCCCCACTCCCCACCCCGCCCCCACCCAGCTGGCCGCCAGACCGTGGGAACGACTCGGCTCAGCGCTGCCGGCCGCTGGACGGGGAAACCCCGCCCCGCCGCCCGCCGCCCAACACACTGCCGCCGGGCCGGCCGGTGGAATTTTCCAGCCGTCTCTCCGGAACGGCGGCACCCCGCTCATCTTCGCACGCGCATTCAGCGGCGGCTTGTCGATTTTTCGAGTGTCGGCTGCCGATCTCCCGAGAGCCGGCCACCTGTCAGCCGCCGCTCGGCTCCGTGTTAAGCATATGGGGACGGCGAATTTCTCCCGGAGGGAAGCACCTCGCTCACAAAAGCACGTGAATCAGCCGCATTCCTGTGTGGCGCGCAATGCTGAAGAGATATGTGTTTCCGCGGGTATCTCGCAGGCCCTAAGAGAAAAAGCTCGCTGCAAAAACTGAGCGTTTCAAAAAACCCGCAATCCTACTCAAATGGATATTTAAATAAAAAATGATTCCATGCCCATATTTGGTCATGGCTCCTCCCACCAGAATCAAATTATTGATGCCTCCATATTTTGATTCCAAAAGTCTAGTTTGCCCAACTGACCCCTCTCCCCGTTCCGGCGCGGATATTCTGACCCCCTTTCCCCGTCCCTGCACGGCTCTCTGACCCTTCTCCCCGTCCTCGGCTCTCTGACCGCTCTCCCCGTCCCTGCGCGGTCCTCTGACCCTCTCCCCATCTCCGGTCCTCTGACCCTCTCCCCGTCCCCTGCACGGCTCTCTGACCCCTCTCCCCGTCCCCGCGCGGTCCTCTGACCCTCTCCCCGTCCCCTGCACGGCTCTCTGACCCCTCTCCCCGTCCCCGCGCGGTCCTCTGACCCTCTCCCCGTCCCTGCGCGGTCCTGACCCCTCTCCCCGTCCCCGCGCGGCTCTCTGACCTCTCTCCCCGTCCCTGCGCGGCTCTCTGACCCCTCTCCCCGTCCCTGCACGGCTCTCTGACCCTCCCCGTGCCATGTCTTCAGGTGCGGAACGTGAGTCTGCCGTGCGACGACAGCGGCCGATTCAGGGGGTTCGGCTACGTCGAGTTCGGCAACCGTGACGATCTGATCGAGGCGCTGCACATGGACGACCTGGTGCGTGCCGCCAGAGCGGGGTGGGAAACGGGCGGGCTGTGGGGTCATCTGTCAGTGTAATGGAGGGTAATTATAGGAGAGGCCGCAAGCTTTGAATGCTGGAGCAGAGCCTCATTCCAGAAGTATAACCAGGAATGGTTTTGAAGAATTGGCCAGCCTCAGTTTACATATATCACACAAGATATTTGTAGATTCGGCTAATCCGTAGGACGATGCTTGGCTTGGTAGTGTAATCTGTTGAATGTTCTGTTAGGGCTTGTTTGAGCTTTCTATTTTCAAGACACTCATATTGTTTTGTTTCACCTTGCGGATAGATGCGTCGCTATTTTAAGCTAATATGAGGAGCTCTGCTAGATCCCCAATCGACTGGGCATTTAGCCTTCTATGGACAGGCCAGTCCTTCATTCCAAGCATGAATGCTGTCTACTCCGTGCGACTGACGTCCCTGTGCGCCCGCTGTGCCGCGGCTGGCAGGAGGTGGCCGGCAGGAAGCTGCGTATCGACCTGAAGACGCCCAGCGAGCGCGACCAGCAGCAGCAGTCGCGCGGCTACTCGTCGTTCGGCCGCGACGAGGACCGCGACCGCGCCGAGGACGACGGCGACTGGCGGGCGGGACCGCGCGCCGCGCCGGCGCGCACCAACAGTGACTGGCGCTCCGGTCCGCCCGGCGGCGGCGACCGGCCCGACCGCAGCGGCGGCGACAGCGACTGGCGCGGAGGACCGCGCGGCGGCGGCGGCGGCTCCGGTCAGTGCGGCGGACAGGGGCGGCACGGGAGTGTGTGTGTGTGGGGGGGGGGGGGAGGTAGCGCTGGCTGAAGAGAGACGGGAAAGGTGGCAAAAAAAAAAAATGAATATGACATTAGTAATTTAAGACGCATAAATGGTAGAGAACATTCGGGATACGGTTGGTCTTATTTTGAGTTCAGTTAGCGCGCCAGTTCATTTACCCAGCTGGCCAAGCCTGAGAATGTATGGTCACTTTCTAGTAGCTATGCATTCATTTTTTGTTCATACCACTAGTTAGACCGTGTCCTTGGCTTTAGCAACGTGCCCAGGCCATTATTCAGCTGCCTGTCGAGCCGTCTGTGTGATAGCGCTTACATTTGTGTATGAAAGCACGCTGTGCGAGTAGTCCCATCTAACCCGTATTTCTTCCGTTCCTTCTGCAGACTTTGGCGGCGGTTACGGGCGTGGTGAGTACCGAGCTCTGCAAAGGGAGAGGGTGAGGGGAGGGGCAGTGGTTCCGCCCTGGGACCGTGGTACGGCCGGACTTTGACCCGACTCTGGTCGGGAGACTGGGCACTGGACAGGGATGTTTTTGTAGTGAGGCGAGCGGCTCCCGGCTAGTGTCAGGATGTGTGCAGTCCGTATGATACGTGCTCTGCACCCAAACTAGCTACCTTAGTATCAATGTTAACGCATCTGCATACTGTTCAGTGCATTATGCATTCTTTTTCTTGCTCTGATAAAGTTCTCGTGTCTGATGGAAATGCAGGATAAAGTTTTGCAGTCTTGAACCCTGATCACGTATACGTACTATGCTGCCGTCGGGAGGAAAAAAGCCGTATCTGGGGCACTTTTTCGAATTGAAAATTGTTCAGGAGAGGCAAAAACGCGTTTTTTGTTATAAAATTCGTTAACTTTGCTCAATAACGAAACAAAACATACTGCAGTGATCGGAAAGAAATTTTACATCCAATGAAAGTGGTTATAAAAGGGAAATTATTTTAACCTAAAAGCAAAAGGCGAAAAACTTTTTTGCTTCCAATTCAACCCCAAGTTTGCGGAATCTTTCTTTCACGAAAAAAGCCGTATCGTGGAAGAAAGCCGCATCGTACGAGACACCTGAACAATACTGTCATGAAAAAAGCCGTATGTCTGATACATTGGTTAACCGATCGGGAATAAAGCCGTATCGCCATTTTTGTTTAATCATATTGTCGTCAAAAAGCAGTATCATCGGTGCATGGTATTGACACTGCATATTGGTTCATAAAAGTACTAAAGCAGTTCCGCTGCTGGTTCCATCCCACTGCTTCAGCTCTCAAGTATGGATATTTAATTGAACGTTCAATACAAAAACAAACATGATACCCATTTTAAACTAAATCATCCATGCATAATCGCATTATTGTCGTAACTTTAGGCTCTTGGATTCTGCTTGCGCAGGGTGTCATCAAAAGACAGCTTGACCAACCGACCAGGGACGTAGCCAAGGGGGGGGGGGGCACGGGCCATGCCCCCCCCTCGAAAGGCGAAAAATAAAATAAAACAAAAAAATAACCACAGCTGCACCACACCGGACACCCCAAAAGATAGTGGGCCAAATCCGAGGAGTTTTCCTTTTCTGGAGGGGCACGACACTAGGCCGCGACCTGTGGCCCCTCCCTGAGCAAAATCCTGGCTACGTGCCTGCAACCGACAAGGGGAATCACGAATGCTGTCTTTGTACGGTGCTTCAATTTTCGATTACACTGGACTCCAGAGTTAACCCTCGCCGGCCGAGGGGGGGGGGGCGGGTGCCGCCCCCCCCCATAGGGTTTTTTCGCGATAGCTCCGAGCACGGTGGCGATAGAGAGCTGAAACTTGGCATACCTGACCTTTGATCCAAGCCGCATCTTTTGACACCAACCGCATTTTTGGGTCAGGTCAGGTCACTGACCTATGACGTCATAAGTGAACCTCTGCACGGTCTTCAGATGTCGCAACTTCGCAACGCCGTCACTGCCAGAGGAGATGTCACAGGGAAATGAAACTTGCAGGATCTAGTATCCATTATGAGTCCCACAACTTGTATATCTCGGATTTTTCCTAAAGGTCATATGAGGTCAGGTCATTTTCGTGACCTCACCATTATAAGTCAATGGGGAAAAATGAAAACTGTTATTCTGGCGCCGGGAACGATCTCCAACTATCTCAAGCACACAGAATCGTGATTTGATGCACTCCTTGCAAGGTTAGATGCGTCACTTTTGCAATGTTGACCTTGCGTGACGTCATTTATGACGTCATCAAGGTCATATTAGTTTTTCGTCAATAACTCTTGATCAAATTGAGCTAGCGAGTCGGGAAAGCCACCAATGGACTCAGGAAGACCTGGCGAATCGAATGATATGCGACATGACCTCTTTCGACCAACTTCGTGACCTGGGGGTGCTGACCTGACCTTGACCTGAGGTCAACACCCCAAGTTGACCTGACCCGGACAAAAAGTATATCATTCGACGCGCCTGAGCGAGACGAACACGATGCTGCCAAAATCGGCGCTCTGCGGCCGTTTTTTGCGAAGTTATTCACCAAAAACTGAACCGTACCTTGGGGCACTTGACCTGACCTCAGAGGTCACCGGTTGACCTAGGACCTTAAAATCGGGTACCAATCTCTGCGTCTCGTAACGGCGCACACGCTCGTTTTTTCCGCGACGCGCTAGCTCCACCAGGGGCGAAACGGCGAGGGGGGGTCGTACCCGCCCCCCCCCCCTCGGCCGGCGCGTATGTAGAAAACCAATAGGTCCGGCGAGGGTTAATTCTGAGCCACCGATATATTCGGAGAGATGAGTGTGCCGGTCTGCCGCTGCGCCGGAGCCACGGCGACAATGTCGAGAGAACCGAGATAGTGTAGTCTCCCATCGTCGATCTGCAGACCTAAAAGCACTTCAAGGGGGCAAGAGACGATTAGTGGGAATGTTGCTGATTAGCTGGACACAAGGTTCCCGGAAAAGGGACGCTGTTAAGTCACGTGGTGCGCGGCTACAAGCACGGAACCGCCCGGCTCCTGAACCAAAATAGAGGATGGTGTAAGAACTTCAGGAATTCCCGTAAAGAAACTGCATCTACAAAGCCTGTGCGAAACATCTAGGGCGACAGCACTGTGCCGCGGCTGAGGGTGTAAGCAAATGCCGCCTCATTGTCGGATATCGCTAGAGTGCTGAGAGCTCCACACGTCTGCGGGAACGCCCTTTAGAGGGCGCACCCTCAAAAGGCCCCCCAATGTGCACTCGTATTCACAGGGCTCTGATTATAGCGCCTACTGCAACAGAGCAGAGGGCTATTCAGTACGCCTTGCTGCATCCTCCACCGGCCACAGCTGTGCTGGTAGGCTCTGGGCAGCTGCCCGTAGAATATGACAATGTGTGGGTGCTACAAGGGGCTTGTATGGGTGCTACAAGGTAGCCTAAATTTCCAATATGATTGAGCATCATGGGTATGAGGGAGCCGGAAAGAAGACGGTAAAGTCATTGACCAGGAATGGAAGTGACAGGGGATGACGGTCCCAAAGATACATGGGCGTGGTCACAGTTATCACAATGAATGTGACGAGGTTGGCAATAGCAATCGACCTTTCACGGTATTCAACTATATCTTCAACGGTTTTACGACAAAGATTGTAGGACGTCGTACTAAGCGTGCCGGCTACGAGTACGAGCTGCATGTCTATTGTCTATGATGATTACCGGGTCGAACTTAACGTGATGCTATTTTGGTTGTGGGGTGGGGTGGGGACAGGGAGGCCAAATTAATCATGGGGGAGGCTAGGTCGGGTATTTTTTATTGGAATTTTAAACGAAGCTGGGAAAAGAACGGTCGGATTATACTGGCGCTCCGGCCGGCTGGTTAGCACATCAAAATTTACTGAATGCCCGGCACCCTGCTGATACCACCGAGCTGGCAAAGTTCTGTTGGCTTCAAACTTCTCAAGTTCACTCCCTATTTTATTTCAATTAAAATTCCCCTATAAATGGTCGTTTGTGTAAATGTTCAACTGTTCCGTCCAGGATATGCCGAAGCCATGCTAAATGAGTAGATACGGCTTTCTTCCAAACTGCCTGGACCAACGATTCGGCTCATATTTCACAGGCCACCATCAAATAAAAGCCGTATCTACAAGATACGGCTTTCTTCCTGACTTATCAGTTCCACATTCTTTGTTTGAAATTTTGTATAAATGCCGTATCTGCCGAATTTAAGGATACGGCTTTTTTCCTGCGTGTTTTGCTATCCCTGATGTAACAAATCCGTTTTTGAATTTTTATATTATATGTAATATTTTCATTTTTGAGTGTACACACGTTTGAGCAGTACCATTAAACGCATCATGAAAAGAGCTTTCCAACGATATCAAAAACGAAAAATCGATAAAAATGCGACTTACGGCTTTTTTCCTCCCGACGGCAGTATGGCTGCAATGGAAATTCATGTTTGGTAATCCAGCTGCAAAAACCACCTGGAGAGACTAGGAAGCTGCCCCAGTTTCGACATTTTCTCATGCTTACACGTACACATGCAAGGTACGGCTGTAGTTTGTCTGAGCGCTGTGGGACACGCCATTCACTGCACATCTTGGCGCGTCTCACGCTGTTCACCATCAGCCTACCATTGTGTGAAGCTGTGGGCTGGCTACCCGCGTGCCGTGTTCGCCCGCCGTCTCACCCCTACTGGCCGTGGGCGGAGCTGTAAACTGCCACCCGCGTGCCGACGCGTGTTCGCCCGTCGTCTAACCCTTGCTGGCCGTTGGTGAAGCTGTAAACTGCCACCCGCGTGCCGTGTTCGGCTGCCACCCGCGTGCCGTGTTCGCCCGCCGTCTAACCCCTGCTCGGCGTCCCCAGACCGTGAGCGTGAGCCGACGATGGCCAGCAAGCCGGGCAGCAAGTACGAGGCGGTGCCGTCCTTCAACGACTACCGGGGCGGCGGAGGTGAGTTAGACGCTGCCGTGTGAGAGCCAATGGGCGACAAACGTCGCTGGGGGACTGACCGGGCGGAGTAAGCCACGTAGCTGATTTGTAAGCTGCGTAGTGATTCTACTTGGGATTCTTTGTGATCGAAAAGGATAGTTTTGGTCAGGTTTGAGGACTGATCGCAAAGGCTATTATAGCATATTTGAAGCGTTTCTTCCTGTATTATTGGTAGGATCTCTGTTACCTCTCTATGGTTGCGATACAACATTTTCGGCCGATAACTTTGGATCATGCTTAGAGTGCGTTGCATTATTGCATTATGCATTGCGCTTAGAGTAAAGTATTTCCGAGCAAAATTAGCCAATCCTCTTCCATTCCCTGTCCAGGCGGCTACGGCTCCGACCGAAGAAGCGACGACCGGTACGGCGGCCGGGACGACCGGTTCGGCGGCCGTGACGATCGGTACGGCGGTCGTGACGATCGGTTTGGCGGCCGTGACGACCGGTATGGTGATAGAGGTATGTGTATAAGCAGATGTGACGTGCTCTATACATGTTATCACTGGTGTAAGGGGCCATTGGTGCCGGCTATCGGTGATTGGCTCTGCCGTAGAGTTTCCCAGAAATACATTATCCTTGTGTTGGGTAGGCGCAGACTGCAGAGTCCCCTAAAGTTATGGAAAATACTTTCAAATCTCATCGAGTTGCTTGCAAATGGTGGTTATACTTTTTTGGAGACCGCATCATTTTGTAATCGACATAATTGCCCTAGTTAGCGTACCTATTCTCTTTCACGAGTCACTGTGCCATTTTCGGCTACCTTGTGTCGCTATCGGCAGCACGATATACCCTCCTTGTCAGCAGTAGTTGATTGTGTCCACATTTCAGTTCTTCCCTCATCGGAGATTCGCTCGATTCACTGCGAATCATTGTGAGCGCTCGTGCGGCCGACAGCGCGCCGGGTGTAAGTGCGCGCCGACCTCTGAGGCTGCCCGGCGTGTCTTGCCACTGACTGGTGCTTAACGTAATCTGTTGCGCAGGTCGCGGCTATGGCGGTGGTGGTTATGGGTATGACAGGCGCGGCGACGAGCGGGGGTATGACTCCCGGTACGACCGTGGGTATGGCGACAGAGGTATGCACGGGTAGTCCGAACAGCCACAGGCGGTCTGTGGCCGCCGCTGTGTACTGATAGAGCAGCGGCCGTCCGGCCGGTGGCCTCTCTGTCACATCAGACGGCCCCGGCGGCTGTGTTGCAGTTCGTCAGTGAGTTGGTGCTCAGTAGTCAGCGCCGTTCAACTGTTTCTGACCGTGTCCGGGTTAGCGGCCGCTGCAGCCGCGGCTGGCCTGCACTTGTGGTCGTCTGCTGTATGTCTGACCTCCCGCCTGTGTTCTGTGTCTGACCTGTGTTCTGTGTTCTGTGTCGCCTCAGACCGTGGCGGAGGCGGCGGCGGATTCGACAGGCGGGACGACCGGTACGGCGACAGAGGTGAGCACGGCAACCCGAGCAGTGCGAGTCACACCGCTGGCACTTACCGGCTGGGGTACTGATAGTGATTTCACTCGTTATTTCTGTCTTTGGGGTCACGCCTTTCTCTCGGTGCAATTTATATTACGTTCCAGACGTTTGAAAACCGTACTGCCGAGGCTCCCGTAAACAAAGGAGCAAAAATCTGTTTTGTTTGTTATCGTTGCCAGCGACTTAAATCCGTTTTCGTTCTTGTCAAATACAGAGGTGGTCTGCAAAATGTTGTGGATGTTGGGTTCCTGTGAGCCGTGGCTGATATCTGTTTTCTCTGCGTTTCAGGTCGTGACGACAGGTAAGTTCACATTCCTCGCTGCATCTGGTAGAAAAGAACTTGTCGCCAGTACCTTACCTTTTTGCAGTTGATAATTCATTACATTTCAATGCGTAGTAGGCCGTCAAACCGTCTTTTACAGACCCTATAATTTGTGTTAGTTTGTAATAAATACTGTGCTTTCCTTTTTTGCTGGCCTTTCGTGTATCAGGGATTCATTCATTGAAAATTCGCTGAATATGAGACAATTTACTTCTCTAATTTATGTTGGCTTTAATTTCGTATCGAGCTGTTTAGAATATTACCGGAGCTTAGTACGGCGGGGTTGATCTTTGTTTATAAGAGGCCTTTCACAGTGTCTACCGTTGCGCAGTTGTCCGCCGAGTCTCGCGTACCGCGTCAGGCTCTCTGACATACGTCCTGCCTGCTTTTAGGTACGGCGGATCGCGCTTCGGTTCACGAGACGGTCCCCGTTACGACTCACGAGACGGGCCGCGCTACGACTCGCGGGATGGACCACGAGACGGTCCGCGCTACGACTCGAGGGATGGACCTCGAGACGGTCCGCGTTACGACTCGAGGGATGGACCACGTTACGACTCACGCGATGGTCCCCGGGACGGACCGCGCTACGACTCGCGGGACGGCCCCAGAGACGGCCCCCGGGACGGTCCGCGTTACGACGACCGGCCGCCGGCCGAGTCTGACCGGCCGCCGGCCGAGCGGCCGAAGCTGAACCTGAAGCCGCGCTCGGTGCCCTCGGACGACATCGGCAAGCCGGCCGCCTCCAGCAGCATCTTCGGCGGCGCCAAGCCGGTGGACACGACGGCGCGCGAGCGCGAGGTCGAGGAGCGCCTCAAGGCGACCCGGATCGACGACCGTCCGGCGCGGCCGTCGGAGCCGGCCTCGGGCTCCCAGCGGCGCGCCGAGGCCTCGCGAGACATCCGGCTCAGCGAGCCGGCGCGCGGCAAGGACAGTCAGGTAACGTCACCGCGGTAGACAAACGGGTAACAGCCGGGTAACGCCGCCCGCGGCAGGGGCAGCCGGGTAACGCCGTTTGCGGCAGGGGCAGCCGGGTAACGCCGTTTGCGGCAAGGACAGCCAGGTAACGCCGTCCGCGGCAGGGGCAGCCGGGTAACGCCGTTTGCGGCAGGGGCAGCCGGGTAACGCCGTTTGCGGCAGACAGGCTCGGAGCTGGGGTGGATGGGCTGGAAGTACTGATTGTTTAGTTAACGGCATTGGGTTATGTTTGTTCTGTAAAATTTCTGCTTGTGAATGGAAGCTTGTCGACGCGACTGGCCCCCTTGTAAGGGAGAGTATCCTGTGACCGACTGTCCTGTACACGCGTGTCCCGTGCCCGTACAGTTGACGTGATCTGATCTTTGTTTCAGAAGCCGGCGGACGGTGCTGGCTCGAGGGAGACAAATGGAAAGGCGGCCGACGGCGCAGAAAAGTACGTACCGAATACAGTCACGACGTGCTTTTCGTTTACGAACATTATTCAGTGTGTTTTCATTCAAAGCTCATATGAGCAACTGTTTTGCGCAACCGCGCGTCTGTTTTTGTTGAAGCCATATGGCGTCCCTGTGTTAGCTCAAATGTGCCTTGCACATTCGGGTACAGAACATATGTTATCCCGCTAGTCAGCCGTGCCCCGTTCCCCGTGTGATGCCGCCCCACTCACTCAGCCCCTGTTCATCACAGGAAGGAGCGGGCGCCGCGGCCTCCCAAGACGGTGGAGGATAAGCCGGCCGTGTTCGTCGAGCAGAGCCGGTTCAGCGCGCTGGCAGAGGACGAGGAGGCTTAGACGCGGCGGCACCACATATAGCCGCCCCAGCAGAGCGCCACAGTACGCGCACGACACGACCGGCCGGCGGGCCGCGGCAGGCCGCCCAGCCCGACACGGAGCCGGACGGCGGCCCATTCCGGTCCCGGCGGCCACAGCCGGCCCCGGGCCACCCGGCGGCGGCCCGAGCAGCCGCGCGCGGCGGCCGGGAAGACGACGCAACACTAGGGGACGAAGGAGGGAGCGGCGGGAGAAGGACCGGGCCCGCCCAGTGCCGGCGGCTCGACAAACCGCCGCACAGTGTGGCCGAACACCAGTTTAGCGCGAATTTAATCCCAGCGCCGCTCGGATCCACTGAAAATGGTTCTCTGGTTCCAAAACTGACACTTACCCCTCGCCGGACTTATTGGTTTTCAAAATACGCGCCGGCCGAAGGGGGGGGGGGGTTGGTACGACCCCCGTCGCTGTTTCGCCCCTGATGGAGCTAGAGCCCCGCGGAAAAAAACGAGCGTGTGCGCCGTTACGAGACGCAGCGACTGGTATCCGATTTTAAGGTCTCAGGCCAACCTGTGACCTCTGAGGTCAGGTCAAGTGACCCAGGCGCGGATTCATTTTTTATTAATAACTTCGCGAAAAAATGCGGCAGAGCCGTAATTTTGGTATCATCATGTTCGCCTCACTCAGGCGCGTCGAATGGTATACTTTTTGTTCGGCTGACGTTAACTTAAGGTGTTGACCGTGGGTCAAGGTCAGGTCAGAGTCCTCCAGATCACGAAGTTGGTTGAAGGAGGTCATGTTGCATATCATTGGATTCGGAAATTCTTCCTGAGTCCATTGGTGGCTTTCTCGACTCGCTAGCTCAATTTAATCGGGAGTTATTGACGAAAAACTCTTATTACCCTAGTGACGTCATAAATGACGTCACGTAAGACCAACAATGCATAAGTGAAGCATCGGACCTTGCAAGGAGTGCATGAAATCACGATTTCGTGTGCTTGAGATAGTTTATTAGGCTGGAGCCTGTCCGGCCGCGCCGCCCCCTACCTTGGTCAGGTCACATAGGGCGGCCGACTAGACATGTTCAAAGCTGAGTTGACGGCAAATAGGCAAAAACTGGCAGCTGAAACTTGCTCGCTTATGTTCAGAAAGGTGCGGAGAGTTCAGCCATGCCCTATTCGTCATATCCATTTTTATCCATTTTGACATTTTTCAACTTCTTTATTAAATACTATCGTGAGAACGATACACATGCAGGGCTCTTGTTCTAACTCATTAAACTCAAAAACCATTCATTGAAAAGCTACCATGATAGCAGAAACAGCTTCATCATGAACTGCGCTATCCGGTGATATGCTATTTTCTCATATATCTTCTCGAAACTTCCGTAAAATTTACGTAGAAAACTGGACATATTTATCAGTACCATAGCCCGATTTTAGGAACCGGAGCGTGGGTCTACTTTCGGCAGGGATATAAGTCCTCAAATGGTAAAGTGGCTTAAAAATAAGGTTCTATCCGATAACTTCAGACAATTTCCTACCCACTGATAGGTATAAATAACAGTTTATCGAAAGTCGGGTTTTTGATTAAATTCGCGCTAATCTGGTATTCGGCAAGACCGTGCGCCGGCGCACGGGCGCCGGGCCGCAATCATTATCCAAATTGGTAGTCGGATAAAGGGTACTTTTGTATTCTTATGTCATTTGGCAAATATATGTAACAACCGTGTGGCACTTGTGTTATTTGGAGGTGTTAAATTCGCTCTTGAAACCCTTCGGGTGAAGACGGAAAGAACGAGTCGTTCCTAGGTGTGTGGGATGTCAGTGTCCAATGGTTAATGCTAAGCAGTGGAATCTTCAAAACGCGAGCTACCATGCACACGTCGGTTTATTTCATAACAATTACCATTCACTGCATTGAAGCGGGCCGGTTGCTAGATTGGACCTTGAGCCAATACGAGGAGCCACTACAACACGGCATAGGAGTAAGCCGCCAAGCGCGTATAAAACTAGGAAAGCCTTTGGGGTACCACACATAGCCAGCGAGATAACTAAGCAGGTGCAGCTGGGCGTCATTGCACGGGGTCGGTCCCGACACGCGGCCCGAATGACAGCCCGGCCGCCGCCGCGCCGGCCCTCCCTCAGTCTGTGCCGAAGTAGCGCTGGCCGAAGTGGTTGGGCGTCACCTCGTTCATCTCCGAGGTGAGGATGCGCAGGCGCGGGAAGGAGCTGGTGACCAGCCGCGCCGCCACCGGCGTGCAGAACAGCGTCAGCAGAATCACGTTCTGCTCCTGGATGCCGTGCTCGCGCATCACGTGCAGCGCGCGTACGATCGTGTTGCCCGTGTTCATGATGGGGTACATGAGCAGCACCTTGCGCTCGGCCACGTCCTCTGGGAACTTGGCGTACACGACGCGCGCCTCGTGCGTGTCCAGGTCGGACGAGACCAGGATCTTTCCGATGCGGATGGAGCGGCAGCAGTCGCGCAGGCCCTGCTCCATGGCCTCGCCGCTGCGCACGATGCTGACGCCGCAGTTGCCGCGCTGGTAGCGCAGGCCCGGGTACTGGTGGCCGGTGGGCGTGGTGACGGTGGCCGGCGTGTACGGCAGCAGGTTCAGGCCCTCCTCCACCACCAGCCGGATCAGACGGTCCGCGTAAAACTTGAAGTCGCTGCGGGTGGTGTTCCGGTCGCGGATGATGGTCTGCAGCTCGCGCACGTGCTTCTTGGGCGGGATCACCGTCAGGTTCTCGCTGATGGGCGGCGCGGGTAGCGGCGGCGCCGGCGGCGGCGGCCGCGGCGGTGTGGCCGCCGCCGCCGGCTTACCATCCTCGCCGTCCGTCCGCGTCATGTCGGCAGCGGCGGACACCCCGGCGGCTGGCGGCGGCCGCTCAGTCGTGCTCCGTGCCGGCGGGGACGGCGGCGCCGTCCGCGTCCCGCTGCCGCTTCAGCAGCTTCTCGAGGTCGTGCTGCTTGCCGAGCAGGGCGAGGTTCTCCACCTTGCGCCGCTGCTGCCGCTCCACGTCCTTGATCACACCCTCGTGCAGACGCTCCCTGGTGGCACACCACACAGTTAAAGTTGTACCTTAGTCATCACTCTGACGTGGCACAGTCATGTAAACAGCATTAGTTGTCACAATGGGAAATTAACTGAAGGCTAGTCAGTCTTATTGTCAGCCAGCTAGCACCTATACCAAACGATATATCATAAGGAACCCCTGACAGCACATTGCTCCCTTCAAATGCCATTCAAAACTGCACAATACGGTACATTGGCTTGCTAAAAGAAGACTTGCTTATCATTACCTGTCAATATTCTGTTTGATATGGACGTATCCAATGATGCCAGCAGACACTCCACACGATGCGGCTAGAAATATTTTAGATGCCAAGGACATAGCATTCCATCATTTGCATTACTTCTGCAAGACAGACAGAAACCTGTGTCAATTCCTATAGCAAAATCAACATGTTCAAGCTTCTAGGAAATTAAATGATACACCAGAATATTTAAACTTAATGTGTTTTCAACATGAACAATGTTACTGCTTTAATATATTTAGCAGCATGATTGAGCTGCAAAGCTCAAAGGTGAAGCGGGTCATTGGTCAATGATCCTCGCAGCTAATGACTGATGACAAGACAGGCAATACAGCAGGCAATACAGCAGGCAATACAGCGCACATAACACAGCTTATATCATCTGGTGACCTACACTGATATACCATAAAATAATTATTTTAATGAAGCTTAATTCTGCAAAACCTTGCTAATGGCTCTAACACAGGGGTCGGCAAATGGTGGGGCATGCCCCCTTTGGGGGTAATGGCGCCCTTCGGCGGGGGGTAATGAGGGCCTCTGAGAAAGCCTCATCTTTTTTTTAGAATTAATGGCTCGCTTCATGGGACAGACATCGCAACTGTTGTGCCCCAGGATTCAAAAATTAGTCGAGGGCAAACGCACAAAGCATGAACTGATCAGCTGGCGTATGCCAATTTTCATGTACATAGCTGCTCACCATTCCGTACAGCCGTGGAAAGTAACTGTCATGTATTAGCCGGCGCTCGCCTGTTGGCGTTTTCACAGTCACTAAAGCAAGGGAGAGGAGTTGTCCATTGCACCCTGACCCGTGCATCTCGGCCTCTGAGCTGGAGCTTTGCAGAAAAATTGAGCGTGCTGCCCGTGAAGATAGGCAGCCGCTGCTACCCAATTTAAAGGTCCTTGGTCATTTGGTGACCTTCCAGAGGTCAATGACAAGTCCCGAGTAAATCGGCTCTTGCTGTAACTTCCTGAAGTGAGATTTTGTGGACTGCCATGATCTCAAGAAAGATCTCACAAATCAACGGTTATTCGGGTTAAGGTCATGCCATTTTCAGGACAGATAAAAATGATCGGCTCGAGGGTACAGTTTTTATGATCCGACCATTTTAACGTGATCTATTCCCGAAAAATACACGCTACCCCTATTCGTATGGGGGTTAACCCGCGCCCTGATGGGGCTCCTGGGTATCCACGCCCTGCTGGAGGTGGAAGTTAAACCCCCTCCCCCCTACTAATTTGGCTCCTGGGTCACTAGCGAAACGCCGTAGTCGGCGTTCGAAAGAGAGTAAGACATGATTAAGGAAAACTATGGCCACTTTTTAGGTCAAGTCAAAGGTCAGCTCACCAGAGGTCATCGAACGTAAAATTTCGCCAATTTCCAGGTCAACCTTTGACAATTTTCGACAAACTGGCCTATAGCTCATGAAAGGATAGAGCTACAGAGCTGCGGAAAAACGCATTCGATAGCTCTCTTAACGTTTTTTTTTCTGATGACGCCCTCAGATTTAACCTAAGAATAACGATTTAGCCTGCGGAGAAAAAATGGCTAAAATGTACGTTCTTTGCTGATAAAATGTACATTGTTTGCTGATAGTTTTTCTTCAGTAGCGTTTCACTCAGGACTTGCAAGAGCTCACTTTTATCAGCATCGTGCTCCCCCCTTCGAGAAGCATCGGAGGTCTTGTTGCACATCAGGTGATCCGTGTCGTCGAGCTAAACACATCTAAGGTATTTTCATCGCTCTGGCATGCCTTTATCAAAAGTTATTGGCGAAAAACTATTAGATACCGTTCACGACCTGAAATGACCTCAGGGACATACAGCGGGGTTACGGGTGCAGTTTTCTGGCTCAGTGGTCATGTTTACTTGTGATTCAGTGCTTCACAGTGCTAGGAATGACACTCATCCAAAAGAGGCGTCTTTCAATTTCTACCATTGATTTTGCGACCTCTCCCATTGATAACGAGAGAGGGCGTGAAAGTGAGCTGACCTTTGGTCACCTACATCAAATATCCGAGATACAAATTTTGTACCTACATGTTTTGTTGCCTTTGTCAATTCCTGAAAGTTTGAAAGAGATCTGTTACTCTGTGTAGCTACAACAGGCGTTACAGTCATAACTGAGGTGAGGGATCACTTGACGTGATCTGGTGACCTGACTTTGAGCGACTTTGATCTGAAATTTTCACAACATGTGCAGACAAAATACATGACAAAATGTGACAAAATGGTGGCGCTCAACTTTTTTTTTAAGATATTTGCGAGAAACCGCAGGGGGGGGGAGCCTGTGGTTTCTCGCAGATATGGTAGGTACCCAAAGAGTCGCGGAAAAGTATGGAATTTTAGTAACCATGGTTATATCACCAATGGGGTCTGGCAGGTGGGGGTAATGGCGCTGCCTGGCGCCAAAAAAGGGGGCACGACCCCGGAGGACCTGCCGACCACTGCTTTAGTGCTTCACCCACAGAAGCACGGGCATAGCAGTAGGATGTGGGGCTAGGTGTCTGTCCACCTCTTCATTGAAAGAACAACGTATACAGCGCCTGGTCCCGCCGAAGCTCGGTATCGACCGTGACTTATTCACAACTGGCGGATCCAGGAAGCGGTCTTGGACACTGCGGGGGCTTACCCCAAAAAGATTTCTCGGAATTAATTAAAAAAAACTCTGATTTCGATTCCTTGCGCACTGCTGTGCAGTGTGATTAACCAACATTTCCTCAGAAAAGTTGTGAAGTTTTCTTTGATTCTCGAAAAGCGATTTCGGGCGCTGCCAATGTGGGGGAAGACATTTGCCCCAAATGCCTTCCCCTGGATCCGCCAGTGGGTTGCCCCACTCCGAGCTTGACTAAAACCATTTTCAAACCCCACCAGAAACCGATGGTAAGGTGAATTTAAATCCAATAACTCATCTCTGTCTGCCCGCCTAAATATGTATACAACACATGGTACGGCACCCGGCCCTGTCTGAGCTATGAGCCGATCGCGATATTTTCGGCTTTCCCCAACCCAAGCTCGATTAGGAACGTTCTCCTTCCCCACCCGATTGCTGATGTCAATTCAAATTCAATACCTCATCTCTGTCGGCCCGACCATAACCCATTCATTGCACACCGTTCAGCGCCCCGCCCCGCCAGAAGTATCCTAGCGCGCTGAGCAGTTGCCTCCAGCCGCGTCATCGCGAGGCCCCGCGCGGCCCATAAATTAATACATTGCGCGAATAGCCGTGTCGCCCCCCTGGTGTATATAAATACAGTGGCGGCAAATGCGCTTGATCACGTGACCAAATCTGCACGTGCGGTTGTGGCGAGGGCACTTCCCGAAACTCTGGTGCCAACGGCCTCGCGGCGCCCATAGAGAATACATGGGACCTTTTCTTTTCAGACCTATCGTGTCTAAACCAAGCCATTTAGTGCAAGGATGCGACTGGTTTGAGATTCAGTAGTCTTTTGGCTATAAGTCGGCATAAGAAACATATTTTTATCGGCAAAATTCGCAAAGTACCAGCTGGTTTTCCGATACCCTGCACGCCTCCTAACCCCCGGCGGCCGACCGGAGAGTCAGTAGCGCTCCACTCACGACTTTTGGCGATAGCTCAAAACACCCTACAGCTAGAGGGCTGCTATTTGGCACACCTTATCTTTGCTTCCATACGCATCTTTGGAAACCAATTGCATTTCCGTCTCAGGTCAGATCACTGACTTATGACGTCACACGTGAACCTCTGCAATAGTTCCAAAATACCGAAACTTCGCAACGCCCTCGGTGCCAGAGGAGCTGTCACAGCGAGATGAAACTTACAGGACCTAGTATCCTCTAGGAGTCTCAAAACTTGTATATCTCGGATTTCTCCTAGAGGTCACATGAGGTCAGGCCGATCGCGTGACGTCACCATTACAAGTCAATGGGGAAAATATGGAAACTGTAATTTTGACGCCGAGAATGATCTAAACCTAGCTCAAGCACATGGAATCGCAATTTCATGCAATTCTTGCAATGTCCAATGCTTCACTTTTGCATCTTTAACCTAGCGTGACGTCATTCATGACGTCACAAAGGTCACAAGTTTTTTCGTCAATAACTCCTGACAAAATTGAACTGGCAAAGTCGGAAAAGTCGCCAATAGACTCGGGAAGACATACCGAATCGAATGATATACGATATGACCTCCTCCGACCAAGTTCGTGACCTGAGTGCCTCTGACCTGGCTTTGACCCGATGTGAGCAGTGAGCACCTTATGTTGACCCCACCCAAACAAAAGTGTACCATTTTGACGCACTGGAGCATGACAAACATGATGGTACTAAAATCGCGACTCTGCGCCGTTTTTTTCGGCAAAGTTATTTTTCAAAACCCAAAATCGTATTTTGGCCCTCGGGGCACTTGACCTGACCCTCAGAGGCCACCAGTTGACCTGAGACTTTTTAACCGTGCATCAATCGCTGCGTCCCCGGTCCCGTAACGGCACACATGCTTGTTTTTCCCGCGAGGCTAGCTCAATTAGGGCGAGGGAGTCGTACCCGCCCACTCTCACGGCGGGGGCGTAGGTATGTAAAAAAAAAACTAAGAAGTGTGGTGATGATTGATGCAAGATTCTTACAGATAATGGTAGATGAGGGTAGGGCATCAGTTATTAAAGATAAATGAAACAAATTTGCAGCCCTCAGTAGCATTGATTTATGCATTAAGAGTTATAAAACCATAGGCGGCGGAACGGGGAGGGCACCGGGGCACCGTGCCCCCTATAATTTTGGCATTTAAACATTAGCCCTATGGGCGCTGCATGGAAAGAATCGGACCGAAAGTCGGCAGTGCCCCCCCCCCCCCCCTATTGAAGGTGTTCCGCCGCTACTGTATAGAACAACTGTAAGCTGCAGGCTCAGCTCTTCAGTTTCTACTATGCCTGCAAACACAATAAAATCAACGGAAGAGTAATAATAGATTAATTGCATTTTATTGATGCTATTCAAGTATCAATGGTAACTATGTCACCGATGATTCAATATTATTTGCACGGTATCATTTACCACCATGCGTCTTAATATTTAGTATCTAAAATAATGCAGTAAAATAAGCTGCGCCACGTCTGTCGACAAAATCTGGTGCCAACTCAAGGTCACACGGAAAATGTGGTCACGTGACCAATGTCCGGCAGCTGGGAATAACGATCTAAGTCTAACCCTTTCCGGACTCACCGTGCATTGAAACTGAACTCAGTCCCACGCACAAGGGGGAAAAGCTCAAATTATTGAGCGCTCAAAATATTGAGCGTGTGACGTCAGAGGCTCCCATAGGCGTAATGCTGAGGGCTCAAAAAATTGAGCCGTTTCAGGAACACGTTTTGCAAAAGCAACTCGCAACACCTAGGGAGAAATGGCAACACCCTAGGAGAATCACTAATGATGCAAAACATATTTGGCTTTCATATTTTTCACTGCTCAATCTTCAATGATTGGGGGAACACCAATTTATAGGTCGAAATCTTACGGCATACCAGGATGACTTAAAAACAGGCCAATATTTATGTCGAAATAAAAGTTATTTTTTGTCCATCCACGTTTTTTACTAGGGTTCTGTTGGAAAGAGCATTTTTCATACTACCCAAAATGATTGCGACTCAATTTCACATTACTCATATCGGAGAATATTTTTCATTTGGCGGCGCCGTTTGTTTATTTCGTCGCGACGTCTCCGGTCGAGTGGTTGTTGTCGTCCTCGTGTTGAAGGTAAGTTTTTATCGTTTTAGTTATATTTAGATGTTAAAAGGTACACTGAAAAGTTTGAATATGCTGTGATTTTAAATTTGGAAACACGTAAACGTCAATCAATTCACGTTTTCCTCGATTTGCGTGCAGATAAGTAACTGTCGACGAAAGTGGCGCCATCCGATATGATGTTTTGAAGGAAGGAGACACAACATATTTACGTGAAAATTTTTGTTTTTTAGTGGTCTAAGTGCCTCAAAGAGGCTGTGAATGTTTTCTTCACACAATTTTTCATTAGGTATGATGAGGTAAAAGGTAGTTTCAGTCTTAACGTTC